TTTGATGTAAAAACTACCGGTAATTATAATAACTGTATTTCAAAGGAACAGGGTTTTAATTGTGCATCTGCATCTCAAACATACATTCAAAATTTATCTTTTAGGATAATTTTCTTCAAAACAACCTTTCTGCCTTAAATACCTTTTCAGTATTCTAGTCAACGAAGTGATGTCTTGACGGCTCCAGCAAATGCTCTGCAAAACCCTTTTTGATTGAGAAATAACAGAAAATAATGATCAGGACCCTTCATTGTTTTAAAATTGATTAGACAACACTTTAAAAAAAACAAAAGAATGCTTGAATATTATAAAGAATATAAATATGATGTTTACAGCTTTACATTATTTGAACACAATGCAGATTGAAATAGTGAAATGTGGCGTAACGAAAACAAAGTTTCAGCATTCAAAGTTCTTATCCATGTTTAACTGATATCAAAGTTACAAGGATAATTAGGGAACTAAAGTTTTGAAATAATGTTAACTTGAAATGATACAGGTAAATATCGTTACCAAAAAATTACAATACAATTTCAAGTTTGAAAAATAGTATAGACATGTTTTCCATGATATTAAGGTCATACGCAACGTAGTTTGAACTCTTTTATCTTTTTCCATGGAGTTGAAGAGTTCCAAATCTTGAAGGAACTTTGTGTTATATTTTAACTTCTATCTATGGTGTTGTACACTTCGTCTATAACAATTTTAGATAAAAGAAACATCTAAAATATATGTTTAGTATTTTTAATATATTTTTCTTTGAATCATCCAAAAAATTTCATCAATCAATATCTTTCCAAAAACCCCTGGTAATGCATGCTGATGTTTTGTCTATGAACATCTGATGACACTATAATCTTAAATTTAAAATATCTTGAAAAATCATCAGTAGGTAAGGTACGTTGCGTATGTCCTTAAATGCTGAAGTCAAAAATCCTGTATTTCCTACAGATACTCACGGTTTGTTGCTTTCTAACTTTAAAATTTATAGCAAACCTTATAGGCATAGACTTCGGACATCAATAAAACAGTATTCATTGAAGATTTCTTGATCCTCCCTTTCTTTCATTTAATGTCTCTCTGGAGACCTGTGGTGTTAATACGATTGATATCAAAAAGCAACCATTTAAAAAATTCTATATACATGTACACGAAACCCAAAACTTTTATTTGGTAACAGAGCAAAATTTTAAATATAAATTCTGTAGAACATTGTGCAGAAAGTTGGGCAAAATATGAAGGGGAAGACCCTAATTCTCAAATGCATTGTGTTTTGTATATATATTAAAGAGGCGTGAAAGAAAAATAGGTGGCAATATGCCAAAGATCAATTCTTCTGTTTGTCCTTTAATTGGATGTGATAAATAAACAAGAAAAATAAGATGAACAAAATGTTAAATGTTAACGTTGCAGCACAAATGATGTTAAAATATCGTATTTGATGGAAAAACTAATTATATTAACTGTATTTCAAAGGAACAGGGTTTTGATTGTGCATCTGCATCTCAAACATAACACTTAACAAAACTTCTATGTGTTCACTTCAATAAATGGATTTATTTAAAAACTACTTTATGGAAAGGGTATGATATTTTTAAATTACAATAAATAAGTCTTCTCAACAATTGTAGAAGGAAAATCAAATATCACCGACGAAAACCAATGATCGGTGACAAAACTTAAAAACAATAAATCTGTATTTTGCGGCACGTGTTTTGTGTAATCATCTTTTTGTGATCATTATCAAATTTTAGAAACTGGTTTCACCAAAAAACACAAAATATTGGCAAAATGACCATTGCGATAGAAGAGAGAGCCGTTGGAATGTTGATATTTGGAACATCCTTGCACCACGTTTTACTCACTTTTATTTTAGTGTTTAATTGTCCTTGATATTACTTTTAAAAATTTACAACCAGTATCAAAAACCAATTTAAACACATTTTTCTATATAATAGGTTGTGCGTCATTTTTATCGCCAATTTGTCACAATTTGAAAGCTTTGGACAAAATTTAAGCAAACCTGAATTGATCTTGATCTTCGTCTGAGGCCAAAATTTAGCGTCACACCAGGTTAAAAGAGTGTTAAATTGTTCTGAAATAATCTTCGAAACATGAAAACATACAATTTCAATCGGATGAAAATGATAAGAAATCGGTGCCCATTACAATCTAATATCAGCTCTGAAAGCAGTTTGTATAGTTTTAAAGCGGTGCACTTACGTGCTAAACGCCCAAGGATATTGACCAAAAGGCCTCTGTGTGATGATGCACTGTCAGATTACCGGATCTGAGTCCCAATGAACACATTTGGAATTTTTATAAGGAATGTAAAAGCCCACCCCCCTTTCACACAATTTCAACGGTTTGGAAAGATCTATGCAGTAGGTTTGACAGCAGATTGATCAATCTCCTATACAGGGGTACATGGTATCCAACAGTAAAGGATGTCTTGTAGTAATTAGAGCGAGTGGTGGTCTTACTCCATTGAGAATATTATGTGTGAATTTTCATTTTGAGGGTACATCATTTCCTTGACACTTTCCTTAAAATTCTGACGAGATACTTACATGAAATTTACGCAGCATCGAACTGAATTATGCATCAATATTTACATCCACTGAATATTTTCTCCTTTATTTCTTAAGAAAACCCATTGCTTTAATCAGTGCATGAACTACACTTGGCATGTCACCTGTATAGATTTCTTGATCAGTGGCTGTTCCATCAATGAAACGTACTAAGACGTATGCATCAATAATACAATGATTAATCTTTTTAATCCTATTTTAAATGATTAATTAAACTGATATAAATATAAACAATAAAATGCCTTTCTTTGGTTGTTAGTACGGGAATGAACGTCGCAGCTATTGCAGAAAAAAAATTATGTATTTTTTCTGCAAAAGCTGCGACATTCATTACCGTACTAAAAACCAAAGAAAGCAATTTTTTGTTTAATTAATCATGAATTAAAGAAATCATTTATTGTACGCATTTGTTTTTTAAAACTTAAAAAATGTTAGGTGAACACTTTGAAGTTTGGTTCAGTGTACATTCACAATTCAACTTTTAGGATAAAGTTCTTCAAAACAATCTTTCTGCCTTAGATACCCTTTTAATATCCCAGTCAACGAAGGGGATATATTGCCGGGTCCAGCAACTGCTTTGCAAAACCTTTATTTTTCCAAATAAAAAATAATAAACAGCTGTAAAGGCTAAAAAGTCAAATGCGGTTTGCCAGAAAGGTGTAAAATGTTATCTGATGTTATTTATAATCGACAATACACACTTATATTGCTCTTAGCTTTATACTATGTGTTTCATTTACCAATTTATGGTAAGAATGAATGTTTATACTTTTGAACAGTACTTTAAAAATAATTGAAGAATCTTTAACCCAAAACAAAATTCTTTAAATATATAACAGTAAAATGCACGGATTGTATCTTACAGTGCGTGGTTTTTTTCTTTCTTATTTACTACGAATATTGTCTTGCTGAAAAAAAGCTTTCAAGTCTCTTTTAATGGCAATGGTAATAAGAATGATTCAAAGTCTGCATACGGAGACAATTTCCTTATAATATCTTTGTCATTACATGAAAGAAGCTCAACAACACAGTTTTTCCCAGTATGACTGCAGCCAAATTGACCGTAGGTTCATGACACAATAAACTATACTAATATAATAATTTTTTTCCCTCTTTTTTCGCAGAGGTAGAAAAAATCACTTTTAATGAAAATTCTGAACACAAATTAAAGCAATCATTAAAAAGATATTTCGGGCCCACCATTCACTGCAGTTAAACTTATTTAAATATCAGTTAAGAAAATATTTCTCTTTGTGAAAAGGTTAGCTCTAAATTAAGAAGTATCAAAAAATAATTTTTTTAATAAAACAAAAAAGTATATGCAGTATATTTTCGTTTTTGCTTTATTTTTTTTTCTGAAATTTATTTTGAACTACCAGAGATCATTTTCATTTAACATACATAAAACAGAAACTTAAAGGGTGGGTCGTCGTGACCAAACTGGGCACGTGGTACAAAGGTGCAGAGTTATTAATAATTTTGCGTAATTTTAGATGGAATAAAAACGCATTTTTTGACAATTAATGCTAAACTTACAACTTTTTAATTTTGTTCATGTTCAGCAAAGGAAATGCCCACACAAAATGATTATATTTATTCATCCTTGTCAACATGAAACAAGTTTTCTATTTATCAGTTACGTTCTTCCATCAAAGTATGAATGAAAATAGGTTGTATGCTGTCTAGCGAATTTCATTGTTGACATATCGTACATTTTATATGTCCTTTAAATTTCAAAATTATATTTTCGCAAATCAAACGCATAAATTTATTTTTTAGGTCATAGTCATAATTTTGCTAAGATTTTAATTAATTACGACGTAAGTCAAAATTATTTTTAAAACCGTACTTCAAAGAATCTCGTGTTTTGTCTGCAACTCAAATTATTCACCGAATATAAACTTATACGTATGTACTACAATTGTACTTCTTCTCTTACTTATATACGTCCTTTCTGCACGATACGACTGGTAGTGAAGAAAAGTCTGTGGTATATGTGATAAGACTAGTTTAGTTTGGTCCAACATTTAAAAAAACTATTGAACTTTAAAGGCTGTTACAAACTAATGTTACATTTTACGAAGAATGAAAAAAAACATGCAAATTTTAATACCTTTATTTCCAAAGTATTTAACAAAGATCTTATAATAATGATAATAGTCAAGTGAATTTTTTTTGATAGAATTTGAATTTTCATGAAAAATAGATATGATCAAAATCAATGTTGATTTTCTTTTTCTAAAGATATTTTGTGATGAAAAATAATTCTGAAAACAATATTTTTTAATATTATTTGACACTTGGCAAAAGTATTCTGTATGATTAATAACCGAAACTAGCCAATAAACTTGTAGGCTTTATGCATTACTTTAATTTAAAAAAGAAGTTTTAACTTTGACCCATAGCTGAACTTTTTAAAGCTTGATAATAGGTCAAGGTTAAAGTTGTGGACAAACATATTACAAGCAACAAAACACAAACACATACACGGAATCGAACAATGGACCCAAAACATGTGCTCACAAAATTTGATGTTTGTTATGTAACACGTTTAAAACATAAATTCAATTAAATTGAACATTATCAAGCAAAACTTGATTTCCTTAAAATTTATATAACTAAGAACAATGTTATTTGAATACTTTTAAAGAGTATAATGTAAGAAAATATCGAACTTATTTTTAAACATTTTTCTCCAATAAGGCAAGAAAATTACATTTAAAAAGATCTTACATTGCACAAAACAAGAAATATTTGAATCCGTCGAAAGACTTCGTCGAAATCAACACAAATATATATCTGACAAAAACGATTCATACAAAGAATTCTTGCAAGCATTTATAAACACACAGCAACAAACAAATAAACAAACATCCATTAAAAGACAATAAACCATTCAGAGTAACAGCAACTATCGCTACTATTGCCTGGCTCTGTCATCGTCCTTCATTACAAAACCCTACTTTTATCAATGAAAGGCGACGAGAGAAATAACAAAAAACAAAGACGTCAAAGTCTGATGAAGATTGTTCTTAATCCGGTCTGTGTACCTCTTAAACTGATTTGTCGAGAAAGTGGAGTACTTGATGCGTCAGTTTTTAGAGAGACCTTCGTCAAATGAGGTATTTTGGAATCGGTTGAGGAACTTTCTAGTCAGACAGGATTTCTGACTCTGATCCCGAGCTGGATTCGTCTGACTGGGAGTATTTCCATAGTTTGATGTTGGTCAGGAGTTTGATTTCGTCCTTCCTGCTGTATGTTTGGTCCTCGTCTGTGATTTCCGCCAGTGCTGGTTTGCGGGAGATTTTTCTTGTCATCCTCCTGGCACGTGACTTGTCGCTCCTTTTCTTGGACAGACTCTGGATGGAATCGTTGATACTCAGTAGTTGCTTCATCAGACTGATGTCTTGTGTTCTGATTTCTCTCTGAAAAAAATTTCAGTTTAAATTAGAACTTTGAAGTAAATATGAAAAATAAATTGTTTTAGTCAAGTTTTCAATGACAGAAGCATCTAACATTTTCTATCAATTCTTTTGAACATTACACCATTTGATTGGTTCAATGATTGTTAAATAGCTTTAAAAATGATGAAGACTAAACAATATCTTATATCTCATTTTTGGTATAACTTTTATCAAAATGAGTAAACAAGATTCTAAAAAGATTTAAACAGTTACATATTTCTAAACAGTGAATACAGGTAAAAAAATGTATAAATTATTTCTCACCAACTCAGACTGCAAAGTAGCGAATGCAGCGTTCACTCTGTCGGTAGCGGACATAAATTCCATTGTCGAAGCTTAAAATTACAGGAACAAAATTCCTTGTCGTGTGTTTCTCAAACGTGTGTCGCGGGTTCTGAGGTGTTCTTTAACAATCAGCAAGCTATATAGATGTCAATGGACACTTCTAAATCAGATTACATTCTTAACCACTTAAAAGCTAATACACAAAAACCTTCAGTCTCTGTTGTAAAGAACAATGGGCTTAACATTCTTCTCTGTAGATGTCCCGGTATGTTTTCTGTGTTAAAAGTACGCGATGAAAGGTTTTATTGTCATTATGTCTTTTAAAGCGCAGATTTTCCGTTAATTACATAAAGACTGTTTACGAGTTGTTGACAAGGGGTTTGACTGTGTGTTATTGTTGAATTGCAAAAAAAAATCTGATTCCAAAAACAGATAAGATGGACTGATCAAACATATAGTTATCTAGAATAGTCAAAGATTGTGATGATAATCTTTGGTCTGTGAAATGTCATGACATTTCAAAACTACCGTTCCTACATGTATTCGTTCAAATGTGATATAACTAGTTAAAACAATAATTTGTACTTTATGAATTATATCTTTCATATTCAAAGCAAATTCCAGAAAAAAGTCTTAAAAATAAACAAGCTTTTTATATTTTAAGTTGCATGCATAAATGAATGTTTTTACAGCGTTTTCATGAATGGAAGTAAATTATTTGAACACCGAAAATTTACGGATCGTGTCTTTATAAACTATCTATCTCAGACGATTTTTGTAAGGACTTCAAATGTCTGATCAAGAAGGTCACCATTTATTCTTTATCATTTTATTAAAAAAATGGGAACTTGGTTAACATTGGTGGTGAACAATTACCCAGTTATATTTTTGTCAAATTATTAATGTTTCTTTAATGAACGACATTTTTCATATTTTCAGGTAACCTTGAAAAAAGTGACAATTTCAATTCAATTTCAAAGTGATGGATGCAATGTCATCATACTGAAGATATATCATCTTCATTTTCAACTTAAGCGCTGTTAAAATTCTGTTTCACCTGATCGAAAGCAAGTTATACGAATTTAACCCATTTTTCTTTTTAAAATA